CCTCCCTCCCTCCCTCCCTCCCTACCTACACACACACTCTCTCTCTTTCCCTACCTACCTACTGTATTTCTCTCTCTCTCTATCCCTCTATCTACCTACCTACTTTTTTTTAATTTGCCTCTTCAAAACCTTGGTGCATCTTATACGCTGGTGCATCTTATACTCCAAAAAATACAGTATATACTACTAAAGCTCTTGTTCCCATAACTTTTAACTGGGCAAAATGATGCAGCATAGGGAACAATTATTGAACCAAGCTAACTTAGGCAACTTGCCTCCCATGCCTCCCATGGAATTTGTAAAAGTTATAAAAGTAAAATTTCATAAAACATGACATAAAAATCATCACCCAACAGTTTATAACGCAATATAATGCTGTAAAACATTTCCTGTGGTTAACTCATGATGTTCATGGCTAGTTCAACATGGACTATTTTCAAAGCAGATATATCTGAATATCTCCCAGAATGTTGAAGTCCAGTAAAGGCAATATATTAGAAGCCCTTCCATTGTTTTTCTTTCATGTGCCTGCTCTATTCAGTCATGTGGGAAGTTGGCAGGACTCAATTGAAGATTTGGAGGAATCTGATGAGGAAATGCCTCAGGAATGAGATGACCCAGATCACAGGATATCTAGCTTAAGCTGAAAGCAATAATTTCTAGATTTCCTAAGCTTATGCTCTTTTTCAGTCAAACTGTGATGGTTAGCTTGGTATAGCTTGAATTGGGCCATGGAAACAAGTAAAATAAATATTGCTGTTATTTTATAAGTTCTCTAGTAATACAACTTTTTGCCTCTAGATGGATCTGTCGCAGAAAAGATAGCTGATCCTTTGCATTTACCAGCATATGATATTGTTATTATATTTTTATCCAGCTTTTTAAAATATTTACATTTCTAGTTAGGTCAACTGAAGAGAGCAAACATGGCCAATATTTCTGCCTCCTATTTTCCTCACAAAAATATTTTCTAAGGCTTAAGAACGGTTTCCAGGCCTTATAGAAACATACTGTAGCTTGAGAAAGCAGAATTTGTTTTGATTATAAGCTAAAAAATGAGAATATTGTTTTTGCATATTTTTTTCCTCTGTGGGTTACATTATGGGTGTGGAACAGTTATGAATAAAAAGGAACAATAATCCTATTGCTTTGGTTTATAACTTACCCTGAGGTCAGTGTATTCTCTTGTAAAGACGTTGAGAGAAGTTTGTTCTCAGTTTGAAGCTGTCATTATGTTAACCCAGAAAGAACTGGAATTTGAAAGAGTTATGTCAGATTTGGGGGCAGAGGGGGGACACAGTATTGGGTGTTTTATAAATAGCATATTGTGATAACAATTTCTATTCAATTAATCTTTCTGAATTTCTGAAAAAGGATAACTGCAAAATCATTGCTGATTTTGATCCAGAGTACTCCTTAGATTACTGATAAAAGAGAATATTTATAGCTCAGAGTTGCACATTTGGGTCATTGGTATTCTCTGAGCTCAGTTATTTTCTTGCAGACATTTCATTACTATACTAGGTAACATCACCAGTGCACTTTACAGCCACTGTTCATTCAGTAACTGGTTAGTAACCATTTGCAACTGCAACTCTAATAAACACTAGTAAAAAAAAAAACAAATTTCCAACCAATGCATGCCTTTGTGATTCTACACAACAGGAGTCTTCAGTGTGAAACTGATTTAGAGTCTGGTCAGTTTAGGCCAGGGGTGTCAAACGCGGCCCATGGGCTGCATCTGGCCTACAGCAGGCCACGGAGTTGGCCTGTAGGCTGTCCGGGAAACAGCGAGGAACCAGCCCCTGCCACCCCGGAATCGGCCACACCCATCCACTTGGCTGCGATGACCAGGCCACCACACTCCCCGCCCCTCAAGGCCAAACAAAATCCCAATGCAGTCAACAATGGGATTGAGTTTGACACACCTGGTTTAGGCAGCAGATCATTCTTATTAACTAATTAAAGTCACAGTGCTAAACTTGTTACCGTGATGTTAGGGAAAAGCAGATCAGGAAAAGATAGCTTGTTTAGGCAATCTCCACCTGCAGTCGGGCAAAATCGGGAAAAACAGGTCAGGCACAGAATACTGTATGAGAACTTTATCTGAATGAGACAGCAGCAGCTGGTTTTCTTTGCCGTGTCTGTCCCATGTTTGTTTGGCAACCATATCATTTAATGACCAAGTTGTCAGATCAGAATGCAATTGCTAAACAAGGAGAGGGTGGAAATGCAATTGGGAATGGTAAGCCGAAGGAATCTTCTCTTTTTGGAAAGATTTACAGTGGTATAATAGCTGCTTGGTCTTCTCAAATTATGCCTTATGTTGTGTTCGGCAAAGCATTTCAATATATTTAAACCTCTGTGTTTTGTTATTAGGAATTTTTTTCTAAGAAGTCTGATTGTTCTTTGTTCCTGTTTGGATCTCATAGCAAGAAGAGACCTAATAATCTGACCATAGGTATCGTGTCTGGGTTTTTATTCATATAATTATTGTAGATTAGAGAAAGTAGATCAAGAGCCTCTCAGTGTGTGAAAACAAGCCTGTTGTTGTTTTGAGCTAAATAAATGGAATTTAAAGAAAAGGGTCAGTGGAGGAATTGTGGTCAAGGCCAGCTGATACAAGCTCATCTCTTTCAGGGTTACAATCAGTGCTTTGATACTTCTGCTTGGCTAACTTTGTCTGGAATCAAAGTTTCTCTATCATGTAACAATAAGCCATAATGCTAATTGTTTGATTAGCTCATTGCAGACTAGGCCAGTATGGTTTGCTGTAACTCACTGTTGTCAAGTGAGTTTGAGGAAAAGTCTTGTTATGTTAGTTGTCAGGTCTTCTATTATTTTTTAATTTTTTAAGGAAAAACATATGAATGCTATGTTTTCACAGGTATCATAAAGATGTATGAAGAATTGTATTTGTTAGAAACTTACTATGTGTATAAACCGTGTACCATAAAAAGGGGATTCATTTCTAAAATGTAAATGCATTGCATTGTCAAAAGACACATTTTAATTTTCTTTCACTCTCTTTTGGTAGGTCGTATGTATGACTATCATATTCTGGATATGATTGAACTGGGCATTGAGAAGTTTGTTGCCCTCAAAGATATTAAGGTAACGTATTCCAAAATATCGCCAGTTTCTTGCTGACTTAATTTGTTGGGGGTGTATCTCTTTTCTCTCTGATTTTTGCTTCTAAATTGCTGTTCGATCAGTCTTTTAATGTATTAATAAAGGAGAATATTTGTAGCTCAGGATTGACATGAGGGTCCTTGGTGTTCTCTGAGCTTGCTTGTTTTCTTGCAGAAGTTCCTTGCTAGCACTGATGATGTTACCTAATTTGGGTAATGACGCCTGCCTGGATTAATCTCTACAGTTTTCTTGACAATTTAATTTAATTTTGCAGTAAACACTTTTTTGTGCTAACACTTTTAAACTGATATAAACAGAAAAATCAGGGATACTACTTGAAACTCAATGTGACTATAATCTGTGAAAGAGTATATCTTTGTCCAGGAATCTTTTCCCATGGTTTCTTCCCATTATACTTCACTGGAATCTGCTTTTTAAACTTGGGTGATGGGATTGTCAGTGAAGAAGCTGTAGTTTGCTACAGTCCAGGTGGCTTGAAATTGGGTAGTCAAGTCCAGCCAGCTGTGATGGGTTACTGCTTTTGATTGACAACATCAGCTGCTCTACTTGTTCCAAGAATTCCAGGATATTTAAGCTGTTACTTTTGGCTGACATTCCCAGGGCAGTGTTTACCAATGGTCTGTCACCTGATTTAAATAAAAACTTAGAAGATCAAATTGGTTTCAGCAGCTTAAGCCGGCCTATATTGAAACTTATTTTTAACCATATGTAACTATAGGAGCACCTGCTTTGTTTTTAGACAGTAAATGTATATATCACAGTGCAGTGACTTAGAAAAAAGATTTTTCTGATATGATGGCTCTCATTTCAGTTTTTATGAGCACATCAAAGAATAGTTAACTTTTGAAGTGCCTAATTTTTTTGGGTTACTTGTTTAATTGCCTTTTTAAATTTAAATATGTTGCCCACTAAATATATTGGGTTGTAGTTCCCAGAATTCTCAGTTACTGCAGACAACAAACAACTGGGAGTGTAATCCCACCATATCCAGAAAAGGAACATCTGAGCTGCCAGTTAACATTGGCAAGGTCTACCCAGCAAGTCTGTTCCTGTTGTGAGTGAGCTGGTGATAGGTCTTCTGGGATACTTTTTCTCCTTCTCTTGGTCCTCTGCCAACCTTTTTTGTTCTTTAATCTTTTAATTTTTTTAATAGAACAGCAAGTGTCCAGAGGGAACAAAGCCCATGCTGATATTTGCAGGAGATGCTTTTGACATTGATGAGGAACATAGAAGGTTAAAAAGCCTTCTAATTGGTAAGCCATTTGAGTTAACCTGCTAGTGTCATACAGACCTGTTTCTTAAACTTTTTTGCTTTCAGGATCCCTTTCCATTTTTAAAAATAATGGAGGACCCCAAAAAAGCTTCTTCCTTTTGTATGGGTTATATTTATTTATATTTGCCATAGGAAAAATTAAGTTTGTTATTGAATCTTGTAAAAATATTAAATCCAGTAGATATCAACATAAGATATTTTTCATGAAAAAACCATTTTTAAACTAATAAAATGAATAATCAGAAAAGTTACATTATTAGATGTATGCCAATATCTTTAATATCTTGCAAATAATTTTGTTTTTGCACACCCCAAAGAGGGTCTTAAGGGATCCCAGGCATCCTTGGACCATCTTTTCAGAACTGACGTTTGCTCTTTTTTGCCCTTCAGATTTTTTCAGAGGCCCTGTTGTGTCCAGTATTCGTCTGGCCGGCTTAGAACATGTTCTGCATTTCACAGCAGTGGATGAAAAGATCTATATGAGAAGTTACAAGTAAGTCTGTGTGGTGCTTGAATATGTGCCACAATGTGCAGTCATACACTGACTAGGACTAGAGATGTGGTACATTTGTGCATGTTTGGATTAGAGCAGTGTAGGACAGGCGTTTTAGGTGGAAAAAAGTCCAATTTCATCTTTTCAGGATGGCTTCCCATGGTATTATCCCACAGATTATAAAGTATTGCATTGTGTGGTACACCTGCTGTCTGTATGAAATGGCTGAAGACCCAATTAAAATGTTACTTTAAATCCTCATGTACTTAGATGAAGAAGAATGTTACAGGCATATTAATTGTACTTAGAGATTTTATTTTCAAGCCAAACGTTGTCAAAAACTATGGATTCTCAGCACTAGCAAAGTGCATTTGAAACACATATATCCACAAGCAAGTTCTTTCTCCGAAAAATTTCCCCAGAAAACGCACACCAAAGTACTCTCCTTTTAACCAGGAGGTACTCTATTATTTCTACAATATTCCTTGTGGTTCAAACTATCCAGTTATGATTGGCTTTGTCAATATTGCTCTCCCACTGTGTTAATATTCATTAACCTTTACTGTGCTAACACAGCTTAATGTCACCTATTTTGCAGTAAAGCCCCATTATATTCTCTCCTTGAAGGTTTATCTAGATTTAATTATCTATTTTGGATTATAGAATAACTATTAGCTTCATATTGTTATCTTTGGAAATTCAGGGTCTGGAATAGAGTGATAGTTGGATACTGATATCCCTACTTTTCTGTTCTTTGCATTTCTGCAAAAGCTGAACATAGACACGAGACCTGTTTACAAACTGTTGATCTCAAATTCCCTCTGCTTTGCTATGATCTCAGTTCTGGTTTATTATGACCCATATACATTCATCTTGGTTTCTTAATATGTTTGAAATATTAGGGCCACTTGTCTTCTGTGAATATAAAACATTACTATATATGTACTGAGATAAACTCTCAGAATTTTTCATACAACATGACCATATCTGGAATATCCCAAACTTTGAGAATTCTTTTTGAATCCTGTATAGAATCCAATCATAAAAATTGAGTTTCATGTGGCTATGCAACTGTCCAAAGTCTAGGGTGTGAAGTTTTATCATAGTCTCTCTCTCTCTCTTTCGTAAGATAAGAGAAGGAGGTTGGAACATAAGATCAGAGTATATGATCACCAATGTTTATAATCTAATAATATCAGATCTATTATATTATGCTTGGTTGACTAACCATCTCTGGAGAGAATAATGAGAAAAGAATAATGTATCAGTCTGAAGATTTTGGAAACTGCTTCCACTCGTAAACTGCACAGTACAGGGAAATTCCGGCTGTTGAAAATTAATATCATGAATGTCCTCAAAATTAACTGCAGTTGTCAATCTTCTAAGTGTTAATGAGCAGGAATATAATTTAGATGGGTTCACCGACAAAACCGCAAAGCCCTTATCCGCGCCAACATAAGCGCGGAGGGCAAATCCGCGTCGTCCGAAGCGCTAAGGAAAAGTGACCCTAGCGCGACGACATAACCGCAGAGGGCAAATCCGTGCCTTCCGAAGCACTCAGCACCCTAACCCTAAACCTAACCTAACCCTAAACTTAACCTTAAACCTAANAGCCTCCTAAAGGCTATGCATGGCCATTTTGGTGAAGAGGGCAGGGTTTCGGGAGGCTAAAAATGCTGTATTCAGTCTATAAGACGCATTCAGACTTTCAGCCTCTTTTGAGGGAAAAAGGTGCATTTTATATTCTAAAAAATACGGTATATACAGAATTTTATTAGCTCTGCTGACTGAAAAGATTGGGAGTTACCATCTAATCCACCTGGAGCGTATGTGCACAGGCCTTCTGTCACAGCACAAATACATTTCCAAAGAATTGTATAGTAATGAGTGATAGGTCAGTATTGGAAGCAGTGATAGAAAGAGCCCTCCCATATTTCAAAGAGGTATTTCAGAAGCTGGAGACAAATTCTTTGCTGATACAGTACCCAAGAATATTTAATTAGTTGCTGTATGAACTGATAAGGTAGTTCTGATGACCAGCATTAAAAACGAATGGCATCGCAGTTCTCAGGTAAGAAAAGCAGCAGCATTTTATTTTAGATCAGTTTGCACATCAGGCTAAACCATGGTGTGTTCAGACAACATTCGTTGACTTCTTCTAATGGCTGTTAAGTGCTAACTAGGAAGCTATAGGAGGAGGCATCCATGATTTGCTTAGCATATAATACGAACCAAGCAGGATTTTTTTTGGGAGGGGGGAGGGTGTTACTAGTTGTGGGTAGGTTAAAACAGGTATTTACGAGTTTTTAAAAAATATTTTTCAGAAAGAATATTACAAGGCCCTTTGAAGACCAGTCCTCTCTGGTGAGTATTAGGTTTAGGCTTATGTATGTGAGATAGAAAAATAGATCTAAACACTTTCTGGAATTGTGAAATTTAATTTAGTTATACAACATCCAGTTTGTATTGGCTATTCCCAACATTGTGCTAAATTAGCTCTCTCTTGTCTGATGTAAACTAAGAGGGTTTGGACTACAACTCTTCCTTTGTAGGAGAAATGATTGAAATTGCGTGCAAAGCATCTTGAGAGAGGAACTGCTGAGGGAGGTTTGTTACAATGCTGGAAACAAACAGTTGTGAGACAACTATATGTGCCACTGCCCATTGCATATCTTCTGCTACAGCCGCGATGAGGAGTTTGAACATGTTGGTGGGTTTTTTAAAGCTATGATTAACATGTCATCTGAATCCAAAGCAGTTCTAAATACTAACAGTAATTTGTTTCAAACATGCCAGGATTAATTACAATCTGAATGACATAAATGTTGAGTAAATTAAGTTACTCTTTATCTACCATATTTTTTGGAGTATAAGACACACCTTTTTCCCTTAGAAAAGAGGCTGGAAATCTGGGTGCATCTTATACACTGAATATTTTTTGCCTCCCAAAACCCCGCCCCTTCACCTAAATGGCCATGCATAGTCTTTTGGAGGCTTTCAGAGAGCTCCTGGGGGCTCGGGAGGGCAGAAATGAGCAAAAAACAGGCCGGTTTTTTTGCTCAATTTTGCCTCCCCCCCCCCCCAGGAGCACTCTATAAGCTTCCATAAGGCTATGCATTCTTGATTAAAAACCGGGCCATTTTTGCTCATTTTGGGGCTCCCCACCCGCCAGGAGCACTCTGCAAGCTTCCCCAAAGGCTATTCGTGCATATATTTTTTTTTAATTGGGCCCATTTTCGCAAAAATCCAGCTGTTTTGGGGAGGTTTGCCAAGTGCAAAAACTTTTTTTTGTCCCCCCCTTTCGGAAAATCTTTAGTTAGAGTGATTGATGAGAATTAGATTGATCAAGTGCTGTGCCAGCAGAAAAAAAGTCTTAGGTGCTGCAGATTGTCAGCGATTTCCTTCTCCGGCACATGGATAAATACACCTGGAAACATCTACCTACCTACTCTCTCTCTCTCCTTACCTACCTACAGTATTTCTCTCTCCCTCTCTCCCCCCCTCCCTCCCTCTATCTACCTACCCTCTCTCTACCTACCTACCTACCTACTGTATTTCTCTCTCTCTCTCTCCATCCCTCTACCTACCTACCTACTCTCTCCCCCTACCTATCTACTGTATTTCTCTCTCTCTATCTGTTTCTATTTCTC